TTCAACCCAGTTATTTTCCGTTTTAAGAAAAAAATTAACAACCTGTTTAATAAACTGAATAAGAAAAATTAACTCATATTTCTATGAATATTTCCAATAAATGCAAGGTGCCATATCTCTCTCTTTTTGTATATATATATATATATATATATATATATATATATATATATATATATATATATATATATCTCAGTGGACATTGAAATCAACAGCTAGAGGTGACAGTCTGTTTCATTCAATGAATGCAATCATCAGGGTATGGCAACTGTGTTTATATCGATCATTTTAATCCATAAATACTTTATACCTAAAAACTATATTTTATCATGCGAGGGGCGGGGGTACCCAAAAGTAACCGGAATCGTTTTCTTTGTGACAAGTTCAGGTTTCCACCGCTAGATGCCACTTGAGACAACAGTCAGACACCAGTGTCGTAACTGGTGTCATCGTGGGAAGACGTACAGTTCCGTGGCTCACATTTGTTTTGAAGTGCTTCACACCTTTTCGTCTATTTTACCATGGCTGAAAGGAAGGAGCAGCGTGCTGCTGTGAAATTTTGTTTTTTGCTGGGGAAAACAGCGGCCGAAACAGTTGTCATGCTTAAAACAGCTTACAAGGACGCTGCCATGAGTAAAAAAAACAAGTTTATGAGTGGTTTGAACGCTTTAGGAATGATCAATTGTCGCTGGAAAACCAGTCTTGTTCAGGGCGACCTTCAACCTCCCGAACAGATGAAAGCATCATGAAATGATCTTGGAAGACCGTTACCGAACAATTGACGATCTTGTTGATTTGACTGGTGTGTCCTGGACTTGTGGTCAACAGATTTTGACTGAGGAATTGAGGATGAAAAGAGTTGCAGCGAAAATGGTGCCTCGCTTGCTCAGGGACGATCAAAAGCAGTCACGAATGGATGCCTGTCGTAAACTGAAAGAATGCCTTTTGAACACACAATCTCTTTCGATTCTCGAAATACTTGCTCTGTATCGTCTCCTAACGTACACAAAGAATTTATTTTTAGGAAATGGATTAAATCCGACGCATTCTTATTTTTAATTCACACACATATATATATATATATATATATATATTGCATACGCCAGTAGTCTACCATCGCTGGAGGAGACACATCTGTAGTGTTGAAACATGTTACTAAGGGAAAAAAAACAAGAACAACATCTATTATATACCTGAAGATGTCTGTAGGAACAGACGAAAGCTTGTAGTAAAATAACAACTAATACGGCAGAAATTTATATAAACAAGGATCAATTCATTCATAACGGATCTGGAGATTTTTGTGTACTATTTGAATTGTTTGCGATGATGGATGTCTCGACATTTAAACCATTAACCTTTGCATTAGTTTTGTGTGAATAATTCATGTATATATATATATATATATATATATATATATATATATATAAATAAATTGATTTATATTTAATCCGATATTTTTCTTACTTCAAATGTTATTATCGTGGATACATCTTGCTGAAATAAATAGATGTCTCATTTTTATTTATTAAACAGTGTGTAATACAAAGGGAGATGCAGGTTCGGTCCCAACCAATTGACATATTTTCTTAGATTTCTCGAATGTACAGGCTTTTACACTCTGTTTAAAAAATAAATCAAAACGAGACGTTTATTTATATCAACTATAACAAGGTTTGAAGTAATAAAAATGTCGGATTAAATATAACTCCATTAATTCTTTAGAAGTTACTTTGTTTACGTTTCGGATACGAAACTGATATAGGCTCTCGAGAAAAAAAATCGAAGTGAAAGGGGATGTGTGCTTTCCTTAAATAGGGTAAAAAGCGCCTTGCTTATTCTTGGGTTAAATAGTAGAACCAGTAGGAGCAAAAAAAAAAAAAACTCTTCTGGTGGGAGAGAAGACTTAAATGACTAAATAATAATTGTCCCCCTCCCACCAAATTCTTACAATCTAAAAATATTTCCTGGCTTTAAATAACTTTCAAAAGGTTGATAAGCCGTAAAAACATCAATAAATTTAACATTTATAACTTATTTTCCTCGTCAACTAGGGCACCTCGAGGCGGTGTAATGGTTAGAATGCTTGTCTTGCTAAAAGCATTATAACTGGGTAGTGAGTTCACTCCTCACTGGGTACCTCCTACTTTCGGCCTTGTGACTCATCTAAGCTACACTTGGAAAATCACTATTTTCCTTGTCAACTACAGTCACATCCGGTCTTTTCGATTGAATGTGTTAGCCTGGATGAGTTTGAAGGACCCAGAAGATTTAGTTTCTAGGGTAACCGCTATTTTGTTGATTAACATTATTCTATCATATATTCTAACATTGAAATTCTATTTTCAAAAGCCATGTGTTCAATCGTCATTGAGAGTATAAAAAAAATCGAATTCTGTGAGATATCGAGCTGTTACTACGTTGCCTAATTTGGAAGCAATTAGTTCGTTCGGTAATTACTTGCGTATAGGATTGGACAACAATACAAAATACACAAGAGACAACGTCTTGAAAGAAAACGGAATGAAAGCACATTATCGAAAAGAGACAGGACAACATATACGATTTGGGGATACGTCATAATCAAGCCGGTACAAGAAAGGTTACCAACAATCATTATAGTATCTATCTATCTATTATATATATATATATATATATATGACACTGCTATTGAGTCAGCAATCATTATAGAATGGATATAGGGTTTTGGGAACTGCATTGGTACGAAATTTCTGAGCTGGGGAAATATCTCTAAAGGTCCATCTATATCCTTTCATGATATTATTTGCAATATTTATATTTGTTTCGATCAAGTAAATGGTTTAAGAAATAACAAAACAAGTGTTGCAGATATATCATATATTAAACAGTAAGTACAACAGAAATGTATTACACGACTAGTGAGTGTGTGCCGGTTGACCAACGTTCAATTTATTCGACTGATCCCCAAGGCCTTCTCTCCTACTAATCTTATAGTAGGCGGAAGGGTCCAACATAGACTCTTTAGAGGGAAGACACCACAATAATATTCGAACTAAGATCCTCATCTTTATTGTAAATTCATGAACCAATTATTCAACCCTTTAGGCGATTTCGAATAGTAATTGTGCGTTCAAACCCCGGACCAGGTAGTACTGACTTCGACTTGGTGGAAAGAGGAATACCAATAAAGAAGTACTAAAAAAAAGAACATCCCTTTACATTCTCACGTTTTAAACTCAAGTGACATTTCCTGAATTTCCATAGAAGATTAAAAAGTCCTCTCAATATTTGACAAAAAACAATTTTACAAAACATCGACATAGAAATGTTTGAATTAGTGTACATTCGGTTTTAATATAAAGTGTACATGCGGAATAAAAACATTCAACCGAATCGAAGGAATCCCGAAAGAAACATGACAATAATTACAAGACGGAATTTTTCATTAGGAATAGAGAATTAAAACAAAATCTTCAATTTGAAATATAGTCCGCTATTTAAGTGAACAAAATTAGCAATAAAAAACGTGAGTAATCTGCAATCTTCGAAGTTATGTTGAACAACGCTAAGCTACCGCCAAGGGTAATTTTAAAGCAGAAAAGCGATTTTATTATGTTAACTCAAATATTTTCTGTTTTGATCAACTTCATACCCTTTTTTTTTTTTAAATTACGTTTTATTCAGTTCTATATTAAGATCATTTGCAATGACTTGCTGCCTTTTATCAAGCAGCTCTTTGATAGATTTTGAGCAAATTTCTGTAGGTTTTTGGCGTGAAAAGGTTTTCAATAAACTTTTGAATCTCGTTTGGGTTTAAGGCGAGAGTTTTCACCATTAAATCGCTTTGCAGTGAAGGAAGAAGCTAATAATAGGTTGGTGCAAGGTCAGGTAAATATGGTTTGAGGTGTAGAACCAACCAGTGAAGTTCCTAATTTTTTGCCTCTACACATATTTTCCCTCGTATTATAATTGCTGTATACAAGGGTATATCAAGGGTGACAAGATTTTCCCGATTAATGAAAACTTTGCGACTAAGCTTTATAGACAATTTACAACAGTTGGCCGTATAAAAGTGCATTTAGTGTTTCCTTCCATTTTAAGAACTCAAAATAATCCCCCGGCAATCCTACCACATGCACAACCTCCTCTTTCTTTCATGGAGCTCAGCTTTTAGGTTCTATAGCCTTGGATGGCAACTGGTCTACCGCAGAAAGAAATGGCAACCTACCGCGGGAAAAATCTGCCTCGTCAGTCATGTATCGAAAGATAAATGATCGTCTAAGCGTGCATCATGCGTGGCACATAACTGACTGATAAAATTTTAAACGCAACAGGCAGTTCGTTTCGACTTACATGAAACTATCAGTTGTGGCTGCCACTCGTTTAAAATTACTAGTTAACAAATGAAACGATTTATGTTTTGTTGCAAGACATAAAGCGATGTTTTTTACGTCTACCTTTCACCTCTTTAGAGGGTAAAAATTCTTTATATCTACCCGTTCCGATTCTGAGACCCGAGCTTGAATTTCACCATGTTAGATTTTTAAGGAGTGACATTCATAGAATCTGCCAGCGGTGACACTCACATTTGTATCATTCTGTGGAAGTATCTGAAAAATCATACCACAGATTGCCCCAAGTCTTGTGAGTGAAAATGGGTAAAGGAAACTTTTCTAGAGCGTTCGATGACTGTGCGAGCATGAAGGTTTGGAAGTACTGTCCTTGTTGAGTTACTGATCACGTCATATGATGCAAATTCCCCCAGCACCTTGATGTAGCCGGTGGCGTTGACTTTGAAGTCTGCGAAAATGACTGTGTTGGTATAAACCGACTGTCGTTGCTAACAAACTCCAGGACAATCAAAGATGACGTGAAATTTGGTTTGTGTGTCACTTGGCAGTTCCACAGAATCCAGACAAGGCCACCTGTCTTTATTTCTGGTCAACTCGCCACCGAGTTGATAGAGCTAGCCAGAAAAATGGGAATCGTGAAAATTGATGTATACCGCGTGAAATTACGTTATGGTTCGCTATTTTGATTCTGTAAGTTTGAAAGTTTTATGTCGCTGTTTTTCTCCTTCTCCCTTTTCTCTGTTTCTCTTCTTTGTCTATCTGTTTCTCCTTCTCTTTGTCTATCTGTTTCTCCTCCTCGTTGTCCGTTTGTTTTTGTTTCTCCCTTTTCTCTGTTTCTCCTTCACTTTGTCTATCTGTTTCTCCTTCACTTTGTCTATCTGTTTCTCCTTCACTTTGTCTATCTGTTTCTCCTTCACTTTGTCTATCTGTTTCTCCTTCACTTTGTCTATCTGTTTCTCCTTTTGTGCTGACTGCCTGTGTCTTCCTCTCTGCCCTTTTGTCGGCCTGTGTCTCCTCTGCTCTTTGTCTGTCCCCCTCTTCGAAGAAACATTTTACTATGCAAGTCAATATTTTCACAACAAAATTAGCATAATCAACTGATATTTATAAAATTTTATGCATATATTTATGATAAATATACCATATATCTCCTGGTTTATATTTTCATTAGACATTTACAATAACTAGTACTGTGATATTTTATCCAATGCTATGGAAATTGGCGCATCATAATCTTACCTTTAATTAACATAGTACTGTGCTAATAAAATGTTACCAAATAAGACGACTTGGTGGATAAGAATAGCATTCTTTCGTTCTTGAAACGAAGAGAATATTTAAAACAAGTTTTTAGTAAGAACTGGGAGAGCTTTTTTTTTTTTTTTTTTTTGTTTCTATTTAAGATGTGGGGAGGATAAAATCAGCATCCTGTTTGGTCGGGTGGAATCTAAAGAGAAATAAGTTTAAAGGCTTATGTAGAAGGCGGTGCTGAAAAGTTCTCGGTATGACCCACTTCGCAATATCAGAATTCTGATATTTGCTCATTAAAAGACTTATAATATTTTTATTTTTGGAAGTCTGGAGCAAGTGGGTTGGGCTGTAAATTTCTTCTGCACCCCCCTATCTAAAACGTGCAAAAATTCAAGTCAGTGTGCCATTGTGTGAATGATTCCATGTGTTGACTCAAGTATTTGCCTCATGAATGGACTTCAGTCTGTTGACTAAAATTTCCAAATATAGAATTTTTTTATTTTCTATATTTGTTTTTGTATTTTTTTTTTTTAAATCTTCAAGTGTCTACTCATTTAGATTCCGTCTCTTCCTTCCTCATCCTCTCACTAACAACGCACGTGTCAACTTTCTTTTTACGTTGAGCACAAGATATTTTTTCTAATGATTGTAGCTTTTTTTTTTGTTTCTCTTTTTCACTCACTTAAATAGTTTTGTATTTACTTATCACTTTGAAATTCTATGTTTCATTTCTCCCTGTTGTTTTCTTTTTTCTTCCACTCTTTCTCTCTCTATCTAACGATAATTAAGTCCGTAGCCTTGCAATTATTGGTCTGGTATCTAGTGCTAAAGAGCTAAATATTCGAATCTGATTGAGAAGGATTGGGTTAAGTGCCTGGCCAAAAAAGGAGATTGTTGATAAGATATCTGCAAAATAAATACTTGTATCATTAAGCTATGGACGTGTTGATGTAGAAAGATACCAGAAATGTCTCACATAGATAATAATGAACTTACATGAGCTTAATAACATATGTATAGACACACACATTGTAAGTGGAACAAAAAAATCAACCTTGCACCAATGAAAAGTACATAAATTAATTTCAACTGTAAAAGTGACAAAGAACGAAAAAAAATAAACAGTCAATTGCCGGTATCTTCTGATGAGTGGCCGGAGTGATTGCTGGAGGGTTCGTCTGCGAAACTCTAGAGCCGAGATGCTGAAAATAATATAAGCCAGGAAAGTGACAAATTTTATATTTGTATTAATTGTGTGGGTGTGTGTGTATATATATATATATATATATACTACTTGATGTTGACATCAATGTATACTTTTATATTTATATACGTTTTATCTACTTTAACTTTATTTTTCCGATAATTATAGCATAACATAAAACTATATTTTATCATATATAATGGTAATGGTGAGATTAACCGTTTTCATATAGGAAAAATTCAGCATTCCTTCATCGAAACTTTTCTGTCGCCCGAAAAATCTGCCACTTTCCGTTAGCTTGTCTGTCGCCCGAAAAATCTGCCTCTTTCCGTTAGCTTGTCTGTCGCCCGAAAAATTTGCCTCTTTCCGTTAGCTTGTCTGTCGCCCGAAAAATTTGCCTCTTTCCGTTAGCTTGTCTGTCGCCCGAAAAATTTGCCTCTTTCCGTTAGCTTGTCTGTCGCCCGAAAAATTTGCCTCTTTCCGTTAGCTTGTCTGCCGCCCGAAAAATCTCAATTGATAACCATCTAAATTTTGATGAGGGAAGTATAATAGATGAAACTCAAATCCAGCAAAATCTATGCTACTTTTACGCTGTTAAGAAATGCCAAATATTTGACATGTTTCCATAGTGGCTTTAGATTTTCATGATCCAGGTTTCTTTTAACTATTTGTTAACATTTTAATGTTTTACATATGTCAATTTATTAGATAGTGATTTTCTAAGCGTATCTTAGATATGGCACAAGACCGAAAGTGTGGAACTTACTTGTAGGGTTTGTCAACACAGAGGTGTGAAGAAATAAATAAAAATCAATTACGTACGCGCACACACACATATATATATATATATATATATATATATATATATATATAGAGAGAGAGAGAGAGAGCTTTCCCTGACGTTCCGCTTAGGTGAAACCTGGGTAGGTTTGCCTGGCTCACTAGGTTTGACTAGGTCTGCTCTACGGTTGTATTGAGCTCTTTTTAGTTAGTTGTTTACTCGTGTCGGGTTTTTTTCTTTGGGCTTTGAACCTGTATCTGTGCGATTTTGTCGATAGACTTTCATGTTCCCGGCTCTTTCTTTTTTTTTAAAACCTTTTTTTCCTTCGAGATTGATTTGATTATTGCCAAATCAAAAATTCGAAGTTTTTTCGAGACGAGTATAGTTACCTATATATATATATATATATATAATACTAATAATCTTATAAATATAAGCAGCTATACTCGTCCGGCAAAACTTTATGCATTTTAGCATGTAAATGAACAAACCAATACCCAAGGGTAAAAAAAAAAGGGTAAAAAAAGAAAGAACTAAGAACATGTATTTCCAGCGTCTAGAATCAAAGTTCAGAGTCCAAAGAAGAAACCCTCCGGCACGAGTAAAGTAAAAATAACTAAGCAATAGGCTAAGTAGAGCAAACTCAGTAAACCTAAAGAACCAGACAAACCTACCTAGGTTTCACCTAGGTAGGTTTATCCTGCCCTGATAAGAGATGTCCGAGAAATCGGTTTAGATTTTTTTCAATCGTTGTTAAATGTTGGTATTGCCATTTTATATTTTATTATATATTTTAGTTATCCTCCCCACCTTTTCTTTTGAATTGCTTTTTAATCAGACAGAATGATAGGATAAGGAGAAATTCGGAAACGTTTATAAATTTAACATGTTTCGCTTTTATTTAAGCTTCAGAAAATTAAATATAGAAGAGAAAATAAAATTCATTGCGCTCTTGTATAGCAACAACCAAATTCCGCAAAGATTAACTAGAATTGTAATATACAAAAACACAAGAATTATACACACGAAATTTCATTGACAGTTAATGTTATGTACAGAAAATGCAACATTAAAAGCTAATCACCTTTAAAACCACCAACCACTTCAGCTTACAGAGAGATGGCTGGTAGAACTTAATGTACACTGATTCCAAAACTTTCAAGTGATAATCGATATTAGCCCTACTCAGCACTGAGGACATATCGTACATATCAAAATCTATCCTCGACATACTTGTAGAAAATACAAGTATAATAGCCTTATCCACATATAAAAACAACGATTAAAAACACTGGAAGCACTAATAATCAAAAAGAAAAAAAAACAACACTCAATAAGATTAATTGTGAACACGGCCACAATATGCTGACAGTGTCTGGAAAATAAAACATTCCCATCACACATATAAAAATATAAAAGATATATAAAAAAAAGTCTACACATTCAGTTAAAAATAAAAAATAAAAATAAAAACTCCTGATAAAGATTAATAGAATAGCCGAAAGCGCTCGGGTATACAGAACATTTGGACAATTTATGTTCAGAAATGAAAACACTTATACGAACAAAAGAAAAATTTAAAAATTGCTTTGTCAGTGGTCTTTAATGAAACTTGTATAAAAGAAGGATTGTTGCCCAAATACACAAATATATATGTGTATATACACACACACGTCTGTATATATATATGTGTGTGTGTGTGTATGTATGTATGTATATATATATATATATATATATATATACACGCACACATGTCTGTATGTGTTATATGTTTACTTAGCAGACCTTTATATAGTCTTCTTCAGAAACCCCGTTCCGAATAACGAAGTGCTCAAATATCTCATTCAATATCGTGTTTTTTTTTTTTCCCGAGACGTTTTACCTGAATAACGTTTTATGGCATAAATTGGGCATAAAAAATACAAACTGATATTTTCTCAAGCTACGAAGAATTCTCATTTAATATGATCTTTGGAAGTTATCTTGCTTTTGGAATGGAACGGAACTTGGCGCTTAACAGCGTAGGATATTTTGCGTGGCGTTATATCCATGTAATCGTCAGATGCTCCACAGCAATCATAGCTTTTAATGCCTTCATTTTTTTTTTTTTTTTTTTTTTTTTTTTTACGAAAAAAATAAAATTATTTCCTCACCCAAAAATTCTTACAATGTAAAAATATTTTATGGCTTTAAATAACCTACAAAAGGTTGATAAGCCGTAAAAAACGAAACAATCGATCAATCAATTTCTTAAAATTTAAAATAATTTAAAAGAAAAAATTGAAATTCTTAATCTTGAGTTGCTTTTTCAAGCAACTCAAGATTAAGAATTTCAATTTTTTCGAATGTTCGACTTCCAATCGAATCCATTACATTCACTTACGTGCTAATACCCTTGGGAAAGATATGAATCCTCTTCTTCTCCCCCAGCTGTACGTAAATAGCAGGACAGACCGGGTTCTATAGCCTGATATGGGAACTGGTCTACCGCAGAAAGAATGGCAACTTATTGTAGGGAAAAATCTGCCTCGTCAGTCATGTATCGAAAGATACATGATCGCGTAAGTGTGTATCACGCATGGCACATAACTGACTATCTATAATAAGCGCTTTAGATTACTAATTAAATTTTTTTTTTTTTTTTTACATTTTAAGAAATAGTGTTGTATGAATATCTTTATTTTAGCTTCTGGGGTGTGGACAATTTATTATAAGGAATTATAGCCATCTGGAGTGTGTCTATTAACTTTTCTAAAATTTACGAATTTACTTTTATTTTAGTCAGGAAC